CGCCCCCCGCGGCCGGCACAGCCCATTGACGTCGCTTTGACGCCAGAGCGACGCGCGGCCTAGTGCCGACAGAGGGGGAGCGGAGATCGGGCGGTTGCCAAGAGACTGGAGGCTCTGACGCGCGCGCTGGTGAGGCCGTCGCCATGGCGACCGCGGGCGGTGACGTCAGGGGCCGGGCTCCGCAGCCTCCCGAGACTGCCAGCGCCCCCTGCCGGGAGCTGGCGACACTGCTGTGGCCCACGGGCCAGGAGGCCGAGCCTGCTCGGGGACCAGCTCGTCCGGGGTAGGGGGCCTGGTGGTAGGTACGGCACCCTGCGGGTACTCAGGACCCCTTCCGACGCTGACGAGTAGAACAGAGCCGCGGGATTTTCGGCATGGGGCTCTGGAGCTGGTGGCCCTGGGCTGATCACTCCGCTCTGCCGGGGCACGCGATGTACAGCCAGCAGCGACTGCCCCTTGACCCTCATCCCATCCCGGAGAGGGCTGGCCAGCTGCAAAGATGCTTTAGGAAACTGTCGGTCAGTTGAACGCCAGTTACTTTTGTAACAGAAAAATAAAACAAGAACAAAAACAAAACTCAAAGTATTCAGCAAGTTGGAAAGTTAAAGCATGGCCCTGAAGCCTCCCGCTTCAAGGGCCCCCACCTTGGTCCTGCAGTGTCCTTTTGGGGACAGCTGAATAGGAGAGGCACTTCAGACACAGGCGACGGAAGGGCCCAGCCCCTGCCACCCGCCACCCGACTCCGGGCTGATAGGTGGGGCCCTCGGAGGTCTGGGCACTTTGCCCACTCCCTTGGCGGCTCATGCTGTCTGCCAGTTGGCCCACCCTGTCTGTCCCCAAGCTGCTTCCAGACAGCAGCAGATAGGACACAGGGCGGCTGGGACCTTGGGACTGACCCTGAGAGTGCCTGCCGGAAGCAGGGCCCATTAAAGGGGAGATGGAGTGTGGAGAGAGGGGAAACAGCCTGTGTGTGACTCCTTTTGTTTGTGGCGGCTGCCCGGTGTTCCTTCACACCTCCTCAGAAAGTTTAGATGTGTTCTAAGGCGCAGACATGACAGGGGACAGACGATTCTCCAGGGCTAGGAAGGCAGCAGTTGGAAGCTAAACTTCTGTGTCTCCCTTCCAGATGGCTTTTTGTGTGAGAGAAAACTGAGCGCTTCACAGAACAGCTCCTGAGCAGGAATTAATCCAAACCGATTCAGAACCGGGATCTCCTCAAGGGAGGAAGAGTTTGTGGGCAGACGAGGGTGGTGTGGGCTGCTGGCCTGAGAGAGGGCAAAGGGGGAGGGCCGTGTGCCACTGTTGCCACACCTCTGGGCCTCACCAGGATTTCACCACTCCCAGCCTGGCTTTTCTGGGGCCAGTGTGCTTTGAAGGGCATTCAAGGACACTAGCCATCTCAGAGTCCCTTCAGTCTTCCCAAGAGCTCTATTGGTTTGTCACGGTTTCCTAAGTCAAGGATTTGGGGAGTATTTTTAGTTCCATCTGAGCCGCTTACCACTGGTTCCCCGGGGGGTCCTAACCTCCTGCCCCCTTCCTAGGAGAGCTACACAGAGGGTAAGAAACCAGGTAAGAAAGCCCCTTGAGGCCGGGTGGCGGCGGCGGTGGTGGCCCACGCCTCTAATCCCAGCGCTTGGGAGGCAGAGTCGGGCGGATCTCTGTGAGTTCGAGGCCAGCCTGGTCTACAGAGAGCCAGGATAGGCACCGAACTACATGGAGAAACCCTGTCTTTGAAAAACAAACAAACAAAGAAACCCCCTTGTTCTTGCCTCAAGGGCCCTCATTTCTTCCCAGTTTACCCACCCACTGGCCCTCAGTCTAGCCAGAACCTTTGGAAAGGTCTGAAGTGTTTGCAAACATGTCATCAGTGTTAGGGCCCAAAGACACTCAGGACAAATGGCTAACTGAGGTGCCCATTAGCATATCAAAGCTGACACGGGCCACCAAGCTCTCTCAGCTTCTCAGGTATCTATTACCGAGTCCTGGCTCCTCCAGCACTTCTCACCCGGCTCCATACCCTAATCCTCTTCAGCCCAAGCTCCACTCCCTCGGGTCTTCTCTTGGTCCTCATTTCCTTGGACCTGCCCCTTCTCTCCGTTCTCTCGTCTTTTGTCTTCATCTCTCTTCTTCCTCTCTTGCTCGCCCCCTCTCTATTTCCTCTCATGGCCTGGTCTGTTCTGCTGGCCATGCTCAATCTGGACCCTTCCCGATGCCTCTGGCTGTTCTCTCCCTCCTATCTACAATAAAAACCTTCTCCTCCACCATATCCAGGAGTGGTGATGTCCTCAGCTTTATTCAATCAGCACCAAAGAAAACCTTGGGGCCTAGACCCAGTGGAGGATGCTGCCCCAGAGGCAAACCTGGATCCAGGCATACTTGATGTCTGGTCCCTCCTGATGCCCGTCTCCCATAACTGTCCTGTGCCGGCCCTGCCCATAATATCCTTCCCTCCCAGATCCTAGAGGAAGAGCTTGTTGTGCCCACAAAGGCAGACAGGAGGGTTCAGGTCCACCTGAGAGGGCTGGTACCTGGCACCCTCTTGAAATCCTGTCTGCCCTCCAGTGGCTCTGTCATTGATCCCTGGAAACTTCCAGCACCATTTTCTGTCAGGTTCTGTGGTATGCTTTGGCACTTGAGGATGGAGAGAACACCTGGCATGCACTTCTAGAGAGATGAGCAAATGATTCAGGGGGGGGAGCACAGGCTGTGCCTTCCTCTGCTAATGAGGCACCTTCTTGAAATAGCATTCTGACTGGCAATTGGGAACTACTCTGAGTTTTGTTTTGTTTTCCTTTCTTTTGTTTTCTTTTGTCTTTCCATTTGGAATTCTCATACCTGACCTGGAGGTGCGATGGTCCTGGAGGTTGCTTTTGTTATTTGGACCAGGAGGCCGGAAGCTCTGTCTGCTGGGCGGGGGCCCTTCAGTGTTCATGATTGTGCCGACCGGACCGTGGCCGGTTGTGCCTTCTCAACTTAAATCACCATGCGCAGAGCCTGGAGTTCCGCAGTAGCTCTGAGACTAAATGGGAGCAGGCCTGCTACCCTGAGCTGTGAAGACCTTGGTGTCCCCTCTGAGGAGAGGAGTGCTTTCCTGTATCACCAAGAGTTGGACAAGGCACTCTTCATTCTTGGACCCCTCTTTGTACGGAAGAGCCTCTTTGCCCCTCTGGACTTCATGGTTTTTGTTTTTTGTTTTTGCGCAGCCTCTGCCAAGTGGATTCTGAAGTGGTCGAGGAAAGCGGTCTATCCCAGCCTGGCCACTTCCCTGCATTTGTTTGGCCCCACCTTACCCCCAAACTTTGACACGTTGTGTGCTGAGGCAGGAGTCACAGCCCAGGTTTGGAATCAGAAGAGAGAAAGCCCAAGGCCCAGTAATCCCCAGTGATGGGCCAGGAGCTTAGGGAACAGGTCTACCCAAACTTACCTGGCCTTGACCTTGACAGCATCCCACCTGCACAGAGGCACCTGTCCTAGCACGCCACCGTTGTCGGAGTATGCCCGGGCAGGCACTCCCGCCTCTCCAGACAGTGCCCAGATCAACAAGCAGGGACCACTTAACAGTTCACCAAACAGCAAGCAAGCCACACCCCTCAGCTCCCAGTGGAGAGAGGTGGAGGGCCTGGGGACGCTGGAACAAGAGTGGGAGGTGTCTGGGGTTCTGGAGAGGTGGTCCCAGTACAAAACAGATTCGGGGGCCTCCATGCACCTGCCAGTAGAAATGAGTTTATCCTTGTCCAGCTGGCCTTAATTCCAGAGCGCTAGGCTTCCTGTTTGTAGTGAATAATTTAATTAATTTTTCAACTTGTGGGTCTTTTAACTTTTATTTTTATTATGTTTTTAGATTAGCATAAAGCAATAGGTTTCACCATAAGACTTTCATACACTGTCTTGTATATTCTCATCTCTCCCTTTTTCTCCCATTCTCTCCCCGGGTCCTTTCCCTTCACCTGTCTTCCATCCTCTTCCAAGCCTCAGGTATTTATTCTCTTACCCTCCAACCTTCCCAGAAGACCTCATTTCCCTCTCTAGTTTGAAGACCTGTGCCCCCATCCTTATACATATATAGAAATGAAAATCTAGATGCACACATGAGCGATCACGTGGTATTTATCTTTCTGGGCATGGACACCTAAGATAATTTCTATTCACTTTGCTG